GCTGGCCAAGAAGCACCGTAGGCCGCTGCGTCATCGCGCCGGCCACCCAACGTCAAGTCAACGCCCCGAGGAGACGATGACGGCGGCCCGGCGCCCTCGCAAACTCCCGAGCGCCCACCGTCCGCGCCTGAAAGCCTGATGCCCGGAGGCGGCGCTCCCTGCAGGGCGGGCCAGCGCCGCGCGCGCTGCCCTGCGCGTAGTAACCGTGCGGCCGCGTCGGATACGCTATCTGCTAGCTGCTAGCCAGCTGGCCGCCGGCCCTTACGTCCTCGCGTCAGCCGTCGTCGTCGTCGTCGTGCACGACCCTGGGCGCGTTGACCACGACGTGCGGGGCGTTGCGAACTTGCCACAGCTAGTGGCCCTGGCTGCAGCGGCACATGTGGCTGCCAGAACGGTCGCGCCGCTCGTTGCGCTCGTCAGGCCTTCAGGGCGCACGCGGGCGTTGATTCCGCAGGAGAGGACGACAGGCATGGCGGGTGTTTGTGAGGCCTTGAGGCGCCGCAGAAGAAGGAGAGGGCTGAACGGGACTGAAGAAGGAACAGCACCGTTCGGGCAAGGCGTTGCGGGCTGCAGCTCCGCGACGTACGGGCCTTGTGGCGCCGTCGAACAACGTGTGTCGGACTGATGCCAGGCAGAAACGGAAGGGCGAGCGGAAGGCTGGTGGTGCGCATGGCAGCCTGGCGATACTTGAGCAGCGTCGAGCTCCCGACAGGGATCCACCCAGAGTGGCACTGGCGGAAGGCGGAAGGGAGGGCGGCGGCAGGCCCGGGCCGCGGGGAGGACGAAGCGAGCGAGTGAGGACGCGCGAGCGCGAGGAGACGGTCTCAGACCGGTTGGCGACGTGCGGAGGGGCCGAGGGTCTGAAACTTCAAACGAGCGGGGAGGGGGGGCTAACGGACTGCGCGAATTGCCTCCGCTAATGTTTTGCCTCCGTCCACCGTGCCTCGGGCGGTGGGCGACAAGACGGGCCCAGGGCACCCTAGGCCACCGCGCGCTCTCCACGTCTTGTCAGCGTGTGCGCGGCGAGCTTGTTCGAGTTGAGCGCGATCTTCTTGAAGACCCGCGTCGCGTCGCCTGGCGGGCGCGCGGCTGATCGACGCACCCACAAAGCCACGGGACAAGACGAGAAGCCCCGGCGTGCTCGCGTGGTTGCGGAGGCGGAGGGTTCTCCACCGTCCAGGAGACGTGCGGCCGGCGTTCGGACCCCGCCAGATTGGACACTGAGTAGTCTTGAGTAGCACACTCGCTAGTACAGCAGACGGGCCTTGCCGCGCCGCGGAGGTACAACCGAGACAGCAGTCCCGCTTGCAGCCAGTCCCGCCGTCGCGTCCGTGGAGAGAACGTCTCCGCCACAAGCAGAGGCCTGATGGGACCAAGAGTCGAGAGTGCTAAGCAGTGGCAGCGACGCGACATACCCGGGGCATCTGCACCGTGCAGGGCCCCCAGCTCCCCCGTCCGCCTCCCGACGACTCGATCTACCAATGGGAGGGTTTCGCGCGCGACGGGAAGGAGCGACGACAAGCTCAAGCTCGCTCGCCCGAGATGCGCGCGTTGCAGCGTCCCCCGACAAGTCCCCTTGCCTCCAACCCCTGCCTACAGCCTGAGCCTCAAGTAACAGGTTGACGGGGCCTGAGACCGCGGCTGATGCGACCGGGGCGGGGGGAGGCGACGCCGGCCCGCGCGCGCACGCGACGAGAGGGAGCTGATTCCTGCAGAGCCTGAGACGAGGGGTTTCTCCGAGAACCGAGCGCGAGCGCGTCAGGTGTAAAGTCTAAACATCTAAGTGGCTCGTCCGTAGCGTGGCGGCGGCGGCCCCCGGTGCGGGCTGGCCAATGGGTGCCATCAGTAGAGTGCGGGGCTCCGATGTTCAATACGGAACGGGGGCGCGGGCTGCTCGGGTGCGATGTGGGGTGAGCAGGATCTCGAGCTAAGTAGAAATGAGGGTTGAACGTGAACGTTGAGCTTTGGAACGATTTTAGTCCCGACTAGAGAGCTCTAGCCTATAGAACGACGCGTTGGCTTCGGTGACGGTGACGATTGCGGGAGTTGGCACGGGAGCCCGAGCACTCTGCGTGCAGAGAGGTGCAAGCATGCCTGTTATGCTGCCCGACCTCAGTCAAAAGACGCCTCCCGGATTTCTGCATGAAACGAAATTCACCTCGCTTTGAGATTCAACGTTCACCCGTCTGAATTCCTCCCTAGACCTGAGGCTGCTAGAGTCGGCCGCCGCCAGCAACTAGCCAGTCGCGCTAGTGCGGATCGCGCGGTATGCAGGTGAACCGACGGCCCCCCGCCCCCCGCTAGCGACGGCCCCAGATGCGCAGGCGAGCATGCAGGGGGGCGAACTGGGGAGTTGTAGCATTCCGCCAAGCATCCGCGCGGTGCAGCAAGCGTGCGCTGCGCAGCCGGCTGCATGTGGGCGCCTTTTCTGGGACCGACGGAGCGGAGGCTTCGTGACCCCGAGGGCGAAGCTAGTCTTATCGCTTTTCAGCCCCAGATCTGGTGAGGTTTGAGACCGTCTCTGACGACGTGAAGTGTGCGAGGGACGGGGGATGAAACCCAGCTAACTACTCGACTGAAGCCTGGGATCGCGGGCGCGGGCGGGCACTGGGCACACGTGAATGGGGATGCGGGGCAGAGGTGAGGTCCGGACGTACGTGATAGTCCGGGTGGGGTCGTATGTCAGAGAGCGGGGCCACGGACACGACGCCCTGCGCGTCCGCACTAAACGGGCGGCGCATGGAGGTTGCGTGGAGGGCTAATAGACCGCACGTGTCGGGACGAAGCGCCGCGTGGGCGGCAACGCGGACGTAGGCCCCTCGCTGCCGCACTCGTGCCCGAGCTCGAGGCACGAGAGATCGTCCGAGGGAGACGCATTTGGACGAAGGACGAGCAGCGATGCGCGTAAGTACTTACTCAATCGCGACGCGCGCGTGCGGACGATCTCGAACCCGAGGTGAGTGGCAGTGGCGCGAGTGCGACGCCACACGGACGCCCGTTTGTCCCAATCCGAAGAGACCCACGGGAAGCAGTACCGCGGGCAAGCCGGCGTAGCGTCGCGCGGAGAGGCTATAGGTTGGGAGCCGCGCCGTTCCGCCCTCCGCCCGCCCCGTCGTCAAGATCACGTACGACGGGCCGTCGCGCGCGACGATCGTCGCCGGCGGAGTGCGGGACGGAGCTGGGCGCGTGCACACCGCGCAAGCTCGCGTTCGAAGCTCGAAGCCGGGACCTGGGCGTTCTCGTGTGGCGGCTTGGCCACAGCGGCCCCCGGAACGGCGGGAGAGCTGGGCTCGCGCTACTTTCCTGTGGGATTCCGAGCGCGCGGGGGTGCGTGGTGCGACACGGACAATCGCGCGCCGATCCGGGCGCGTGCGTCCACGCAGCGCGGCGGGCTGCATTCTCGGATCGGCGCACGGCGCGGTCGGAGAGACGGCGGCGGACGTGGACAGGAGAGACGCGGGGGCGCGGCGCGCGCAGAGTTGTCGGCGAGCGGGGTGAGGGTGGGGGGCTGTAGCGCTCTTGCCTCGGAGGGAGGCTCGGGAGCTCACAGTGCGAGCCCGCGAGCGTGGCGGGAGAGCGGAGACGGTGGTAAGCGGTGGACATTGGTGAGTGGGCGTGCGAAGTACATAAGTAATCGTCTGACAACGTCATGATTAATAGAGAGCGGGCGAGGGGGATCGTCGCGGACGAAGGAGGAAGGCGGGGGCGGGCCCGGGACGGTCGTCCGAGAAGCACGCGGAGGCTAGGAACGGGTAGAGGAAAACAGACATGGGCGTATGCGCGTGAGGGGGGCGGCGAAGATGAAGCCGGCAACGGAAATCAAGTGGATGGGAGAACGTGTGGTTGGGCGATTGCGGTGGGTGGGGACGGGATTGAGAGGGGGAACCAAACCCGCAGACTGCAGGATGTCGCGGTGTGGCGATGGCGGAGGAGACGTCAGTATCAGTGACGCGGACGAGTGGTGGTTGCTGGCAGACTCGATGGATGGATCGCAGGAGAGCATTCTGCATGAGCCGTGAGATCGATGAGAGGCCTGTGAAGACAGCAGTTGGACGACAGCAAAAGGCATCGGGGACGAGGGACCGATGAGAGCATGATAGGACGAACGGATCATGATGGACGGATGGGCGAGCTGTGGCCAGAGCGAGTGTGATAGTTGCTGAGCACGCTCGGGACAGGAGAGAGCGGATGGGAGCATGGCGGGAAGGAGAGGCTCCCATTGGCTGCGGGGATGTGGGGAACGCGGGGGAGGATGGGACGAGGACGGGCGGCGGGAGCGGGCGTTGCGCCGGGGACGAGCATCCGGGCGAGGCGGAGAGCAGGCGGGGAGGAGCGCGGGAGCTGGGCCGACGCGCAGCGATAGGATCGGGCGGGGGAGCGCGTGGGGAGCGCCGTCCACTGGAGATGCCCGGGCGCGCGCCTGACCGGACGCCGACAGAAAATCCGGGGCAGGCTGCAATTCCCCGATGTCGCCCCGCGCAGACGCCTCGCCGGGCCGCGCTGCGGGCACAGAGCGCGCCTCTTCGCGCGCAGCGGAGTGTGGCAGACACAATTGCAGCCAGGGCGAGCGCGCTCTCGCCATAGACAGCCATCCATCCATCCATCCATCCATCCACATAAGTAGGCAGGGCATGCAGCACGGGCAGCACGCACAGGCAGCGGGCACGTAATCGCAGCGGAAAAACAGGATTGGCCAACAGCGGGCGCCCCCCGGCCTGGCCTTCCAGCCGCTCGCCTCCAGGGCGCCATTGGTTCGGCAAGGGGAAATCGGATCGGTGTCTTGTGCGGGCGGCTCAAGGCGGCCAATGAGACGTGATTTCCGAATCGGGTTTCCCCAACCGAGATCAGATCTCTCGTCTTGAAACATCCCCCACGCGCTCCCCCGCACAAAATAAATAATAAACTAAATCCGCGCGGGGGGCGTAAGGGCAGGGTCTGTTATAAGCCCGGCAGGAGTTCGCTCCGTCCCTGCCCCGACAGACCTCCCCTCCGCCGACAGCATGGACACCGTCGACATTCCCTTCGACTCCATCTGGTGTCTCGTCTGCTCTCGTCAAATCGTGCCCAAACGCCTCCGCGTTCCCGTCGACCCTCAGCCTACCCCTGCCCCGCCCGCCTCTCCTACTGCTCTAGGTAAGCCGCCCCGCGCTTCCGACCCCCTTTCCCCCATTCTTAGTTCCGCCCTGCAGCGTCCAACGCTGCTCAGCTACATGATGTTCCGCCGCGCCTGGCTCGCGGCAAGACTGGCACCATCCATCCTCGTGCTCAGGGCCTCGTCCACGGTACCGGCCGCGTGAAGCCCAACGGCACCATCAAGCGTTCGCCGACAAAGGACACCCACGACTCGAAACCCCCTCCCCCCGCCCCCAAGTCGAACACTCCCATTCGTCACCGCACTGTCATCGACCAAACCCCCGCGCCTCTCTATTGCTCCGACGAGTGTCGCCTGGCCGACCTCCAGTCCATCCACGGCGCCATCGACATCAAGTACAACCCAGAGCGTTGCGCGTCCCCCCGTCTCCCTCCCGTCCCACCAAACTCCTACATCGACGGGCCCTCGTCGCTTGCAGACAGCGACTCGTCTAGTGGTGCGTCTCTCGAGTCGCGCTCCTCCATCGCGTCCCCCACCACCACCACCACCACCACCACCACCCCTGCCGTCCCGCGCGCGGCATCGCCCACGGGCGACCTGCACCAAGACGTCTACGCGCGCATGTCCGCCATCTACGGTTTTGCTCCCCTCCCTCCACCGCCGCCCTTCTCCAGCAGGCCAAAGAAGGCCGAGCCAGTCGTCACCCCCATGGAAGGGGGTATCATGATGGCCGCACGTCGCATTCAGGCCGCGCTTTGCCCGGAGAAGCCCCCCAAACGCTCTTCGTCGTGGGGCATCCCAGTGCACCACGACCCGACACAAGACAACAAGCCCATTCCTGGCTGGACCGACGGTTCCCAAGCGTGGCGAGAAAGCGTGTATGGCATCCCCTCGCAGCGCGCCACCCGCGCCAGTCCGGAGGAAGCCGCAATCATTGCGCAAGGCTCTTACGCCAGCCCTCACCGGTCGTCGCGCGGCGTCGTCTCGACCATGGGCGAGGGCAAGCCTGCGACCGAAGTCCGTCCTAGCGCGTCTACTTCCGCACTCCCCTCTCCTGCCCTCGACCGCTCCACGCAAGAGCTCTACCGTCAGTACTCCGCATCGTTCATGCGCCGGTCTGAGTCGCGCAATTCTGTTCCACGTGCATCCACCCTCTCCACCTCTCCCACTGGTTCAGCGCGCGAGGTGTCCATCCTGAAGCCCGGTGCCGAAGGTCTGCTACTCGTCCCTGACGTCAAGATGCGTCGCGTCAACTCGGGCATGTCGAGTACCGACGGGAGCTCAGTCGCATCGTGGGGTAGCACGATGGTCAGGAAGCGTAGCCCACTCAGTCGGCAGAACAGCGACGCCAGCGTGGACTCCGTGACCACGGAGAGTGACGAGGACGACCTTGAGGCTGCCTGCTCGTTGCCCACCTCTCGGCCATCCAATAGTGCGTACTTTGTCGCATTCGCACTACGTTTCGAGACTTACGACTCCCCTAGACCGCACTTGGAGCTATGCATCGGAGAAGTACACGTATCCGATTATGCGCGTCGCTCCCAAGAAGGTCAAGCGCATCGAGCGGCAAGTCATCGACGGTGTGGAGCAAGACGTCGAGGTCGAGATCCTTGTGGAGGAGCCCATCAAGCGTCTCTTCCTCTTCGGCGGCGCTCGCGATTAAATGCAGAGGGCCCGTGGCGGTAGGCGAAATATCGCCGTCCGCCTCTCAGGTCACCCATCCTGCGTCGTTAATACTGCACAACTTGCATACCCCCTGTCGATACCTGGATACCTCGCCGCCGCCCATACCCATCTGCATCGCATTGCCCGTCACCGTCACCACCTGCATCCTGTCTGCACCTCGCATCGCATCATCGCAAGACTGTCGCCGCTCATCGTTTGCTCTCGAAGGTCGTTTCCCCCCTGCCGTACCCGACTCCATCCTACCCTATCCGCGCCCTCATAACGACTATCCTACGGCCATCAATACTCGCTCGTCGGCCTAATCCCCCAACCGCGAACGCACAAAATGTCAAATATGCTGTGTATACTATCTGTACCACCACTGCTTCTCGGGTTCGGGTCTTGGGCGCACCCCCCGGAGTCGGGCTGCGCGCGTGCCCCGCCGCACGTCTCCGTCCCCGTCGTCGCCCCAGCCGACCACGCGGACGTGTACATTGTCGTGTATCGGTAATACGCTCGCTCACCGTCTCACTCGTGGTCGCTCCTTTGGTCTCATCGGCTCTCTCGTCTCATCCCTCTCTTTCCGGGTCCGGATTTCTCTTGGTCGGGCTGTGTACGAGTAGTTATATTATTGTCTCCTTCCGCTTCGTTGTGCATGTTATCCCTACCTCGCTTTGCTGCCGTTCTTGGTTGTTCTCGTGTACTATTATCTCATCCCATCACGCACCATACCACACCACGCTTCGCGCATAGTCATTATCATCGTCGTCCCCCACACGCATTCTCCTGCATTTGCATCACCATTGGCATAGCGCATACTCCGCACGCTCTCGATGATATAGCCCGAGGACACCCATAGTCAACAACACCTGAACGCTCGCCATGTCAATTAGTACGATACCTTCATGTACACACCGGTACGATAGTAATGCATCCATCATAGTTGATGTTCAACTGCTGCGTGTGCGCGTGTGACAACCGAATGGTCTGGATGGCCGCAGTGCGGAGTGCGTTTGACTTGCAGCTTGAAGAATGGGCGAGCTCGGCGGTTCGACCCCGCGTCTGCGTCTGGGCTGCTGTCTTCGCGCGCGACGCGATCCAACCCCTCACGTCCGCAAAGCATGCAGCTTCGGTCAGCAGCGAGCGCAACGTTAACCCAAAACCAACGCTGCATGCGCGCGTCAACGGCCACGCGCCGCCGAGGGTGCAAACCGGCCCCAAGTACCACGAGCGCCCGAACGGCGCCCGCCCCGCGGCCTTCTACGTCGGTCGCGCCCTGGGCCCCACGCAGGCGTGACTGCTGAACAGCTCCTCCAGGGCTCGAGCGAACGAGGTCGGGGAGAACTTTGCAAGCTCGGCCTGATCGTGGGTTCCGGCGTGCGGAGGCCTGACGTGCGGCTGGAATGGAGCGCGTTCGAGGCTCGAGTTCGTTGCGAGTCGTCGCGCGCACGGCGAACGCAGCTACACCCCTACACCGCGCGAGTCAGACTTGGGAGGGGGGTGGGGATGGAGACCCTCACCGACTCGGCTTCCCCACCGACCCCAGCCGGCGTGGAGGCCGTCTGCGGAGACGGTTTCGCCGTCGATCGCGCGGTGGAGCACTGGTGGACTCGAGTCGTTCGTGCGCGCGCTGCGCTACGCTGGCCGAACCCCGTTGCTGAGCTGCCAGTGACTCTGCGCACGGCCCACAGGGGTGCGCCGCGGGCGGGAGGCCCGGGTTCGGGTGGCGATGGGTGTTTGAGTTTGAGCCGCGCCCCTGTGCGTGCGTATGTTTTTCTCGTTTGGGAGGTTTCAGGATCGGCGTCGTGACTCCCCTTTCGAGCTTGGAACGAGCTTGTTGAAGTTAGGGGGAGGAGAGGGTGGTGTCTGCGCGATCGCGCGCAGGTTGCAAAGCGCTCCACGGTGCACCGTGATCGTGCACACCTCCCGGAAGCGCGGTTGGAGCGCGAAAGACCCGTGACGGACAAGTCCGCTACGGGGACTTGTTCGCGCGCGACAAGTCCAAGCTGTCCCAAGAGTTAACGACGGCGAGGCGGAGCTCGGGGACAGCTAGGGCTCCCGAGGCGTGCGGGCGTGCTCGCCCGGTGACGTCACCGCGTTCGAGGTCAAACCGTTCGAGCGCGAGTCGCGACCGTTCAGCGACGTCCGACACCGCGCGGTCGCCGTCCACGCGGCACGCACAGCAGCTTTTCAGCCGGCACCGTTCGCCCTCCGGAGCTGAAATGGTCCCGGCGTTTCGTGCGCCTCCGTCGAGCGCTGCGCGCGCGCGCGAGCACGCACTGATCCACGCGGCGCGACTTGGCCTCGCTCGGAGCCGCGCGCTGCCACGACGACGACGACGACGACGAAAACGCGACGGGGCTCGACGCGGTCCACTCCTCCTCCTCCCAGCGTGCGCGGGTGCGGTGCGTGCGTCTTTGCCTGCATGCGTCTTTGCAGGTCTTTGCGTGCATCGTGCATCGTTCACGTTCAGCTGCAGCCAACGCGGCGGGCTTCCCGCCCGTTCCTGTCCGCCGCACGCCGCACGCACGCCGAGACCCGGACCCGGGCCCCGCTGCGGGCGACGGTGAAGCGATCGAGCAGCGCGGGCGTCCTGACGATCGGGCGGGGCGGGGGGCGGAGCGCCCGGTGGTTGAGGTTCTGAGCGCCGAGCGCCCTTTGGCGTTCGCGGTTTTCGAGGCGTGCGGGCCCGGGATGGAAGGCGGGGGCGTCGCCGGTCGGGCGGGCGGCGCGAGAGATGCGGATGGCGGGATGCAGATAGCTATACTAGGTTGGATTTGCGCACTAAAAAAGGTGCGCCGCGCGCGCCCGCGCGCTTTCTCCAGGTCTCGGTCTCAGGCGCCTGGCGCGGACTCGGGCTCGGGTTGGAGCGTGGCGGGAGGACCGGGGTGTTAAGTATAAGTATCGGGTGCCTGGCACATGAAAGCAGCTGACGGTCGAGTCCGCACGGAGCCGTTGCACCAGGCGAGCCGTCTGGCAAAAAAACATCGACGTGTTCGCGCGCGCGCGGTGGGCACGAAGATCCTATGTAGGGCTCGGCGGAGCGGGCGAGGATCCGCCGCCGTGCGATCGATTGTGCACCGTGGATCCATCGCTGGTGGCCATTCAGAAAGACGAGTTCGCAGATCACACGTACGGCCGACCGAACGTTCGAACGCACGGCCCTCCGCCAGTCGCGCCGCGCCCTCCGAGATCGCCGCCCCGCACATGGGCCGCGCTGCCCTCCAGGGCGGGCGGCGCAGAGGGGGCCTCGAACCGGCCGCCGCTTCCACAGGTCGATCGGGGGGGCGCGGGGCGCGGGCCCAGGGCGGGGCGGGCACTCGCCCGATGCGGGTCCGGCGAGCGGGTGGGCCGGCGTCTTAAGTCCGTAGCTGAAGGCGATTGGTGGAGACCATGCACAATTTTACTGGTCAACTTTACAAAGTTAGACGGCGGCGCGGCGCACCAGTATTGCAAGACGGTTTCTACAGAGCTTCTACGCCGCAGGTTCAGACTTCGCGTAGTACGGTCTCGACCGCGCGTTCGGCTTTGGCGTACGCGCCGCGTGGGGTCGTCGGGCCCGCGATGGGTGATGTTGACGGCGAGCACGAGTACTTGGCCAGGACGGGCCAGGACGGGCGAGCGAACGCGACCGGGAGCAGGCACTTGAACGATCGAGTGCGTCCGGAGGTTGGGATCAGCGGGGGTGCGTGCGCAATGGTTAGTCCGCGACTCTGGCGCCCCGCTGTCCCCCCCCGCCCCCTCATTTTGGCAGGTCGAAGAGCCACACCGTCATCGAAAGAAGTGCGGGGCAGGACTTGCAAGTCACAACAAATGCGACCGCACCCCTTGAATGCAGGGAAAGTAGGCCACCGGACTAGACCGGACCGCCCGCCCCCGGTGGGCCTGGTGATGGTATGCGCCGTTTGGAGGCCCGCTCAAGCTCAAGGGCGGGGGTGGTGGCGGGTTCAACGTTGTATCCCACGCGCTAAGTACTCGAAAGCGCCAGGGCGGAGGTTCAAAGATCTCGGACCCGCCGCGCAGTTTATCGCCGTTCGTGGGGTTCAAAGATCTCAGACCATGCGGCCGAGACAGACATGCGAGCGGTTTGGGGGTGGCCCGTGAGCGCGGATGCGCGGATGAGAGGCTAAAAAGCTAGCATCGGCGAACTGTGGGCGTGCATCAGCCCCAGAGGGCGCTGGTTGGCTGGGGCACCCAGGGGGCCAATGGCGTGCGGGCGACGAGCTTGAACTGGTGTTCCGACGGATATCCGTGCGCGAGGGCTTTTCGGGTAGACGATTCTTCGTGGGGGGGGGGGGGGGGGGGTCGGTTGAGGCGAGGAGGCTGCTTACGTACTTGGAGGACGGTCTGGACAAGTACTGGGGCGACGGCGGCGCTGGAGCGAATGCGGGAAAGAACCACGGACGTCGGGCAACAGAGTTCATGGAACAGTCGAGCGAGCGAGCGGAGTTGGGCGTTGAGTAGAGCGGGATGCCACGCACGGAGGTGTGACGTCACCACATGTAGGGCGACGGCGGAGGTACCATACGGATTCTCATCGACCCTTCCTCTCGACAATCCTGCGCACACGCTCGCGCACTGGGGCCTGGGGCCTCGACCCGTCGACGCGTTGACGTGTACATGCTCAATGTTGTCTTCGCGCGCCCCCGATCCTGTTGACCGCTGAGCGCGCCATCCGCGATCCACCAACTCGCGCGCGGGCGGCCTCGTCTGGCCATGGACGTCTGGACTCTGGCACCGATCGCGAGCGCGGCGTTCTGTCCATGCGTGCCTCTCGTATTTACGTTTCCAAACGCGATTCGTACCCACCACGCGCGCGCGTGCCAGGGGGCCTGTTAACCACGATAGACGCGCAGCGAGGGTGCGCCATCGGCTTGTGCGCGGAGAGCGGCTTGCGTTCGCGTACGACAGGCGTCCGATCCTTTCGTGCACATATTGCGTGGGACCGCATGCGCGACCCACACCCGCACGGAGGTCCAGTGTGTCAGCGTGCGTCAT